AGCTATGCAGCTTGGGCGGTGTGTGGGCAGAACTTGGTGAATCACAGAAACAAGCTTGCCAAAAAAGCCTCTTATTATTGGAATTTAATGGATATACCAAGTGTCTCCCGGAGAAAAGAACATCACAACTGCTGCACATCTACCAAACATTCGTGTGATAATTGATAATTGTATACAATTGATTTATTTTCAAACACTCGCCAGAACAAGAACTGGCTGGATGCTTTGTAGCTCAGAGGATTGAGACCAACTCTGCAAAGACTGCATATATTCATAACAGAGAGCTGTGAATCCACGCTTTGTTCTTCCAGATCATATTTGTCTTTTGCCACAGTCGAATACAGAGATCCAAACCACATAGGAGGTAGGACATTCTTTGGATCCAGGAGATACCGAGCTCTCTTGCTGGTCACGCCTCAGGCTGCCCAGAGCCCTGCACTGGTCAGGCTGCGGCAAGCGGAGCCCGCCCTGGAAGCGGCCAGGCATCGGTGATGGCATCGGTGGACTCTGAGCAGATGACGAAATGATGTTCACAGACGAGACCCGTGTTTCTATCTACCAAGGACCCTAGCAGCCTAGAAGTCCCTAGTCAAGGATCCTAACTTTCCAATATGCCGTTTTTTTGGAGGCGTAGACGGTGCCGGCTGGCCACCTTTTCCGACTTCGTTCCATGATCAAAAGATGGTTTGAACGAGCCCCCCAGAGGCGACGAGCGCGTGAGCTGGAAATGAAGTTGGAGGCGGCTTCAATCAGGTTTTGGTCGGCTTCCTGTGGTGCTGATATGCAGTTTCATATTTCATTAGTTGTAAGTAAGTCTTTTACAGCAACTTAGGTAATCTTGAGAGCCAGCAGCAATATCTATATATACAATATTCAGCTGATGCATGTATTGCGTATATATTCAATATATATATATATATATTGTTACAGACCGCTTGGCATTTTGTTGTATTGTAATTCCTAGCTCAACAACTGATGAACCCTTGCGGTGAACGTCCGGTAGAGTCGAGGAATTATTCCAGAGTAGTATCAACCACTCTCTGCAGACTCTTCTTTTAGAGAGAGATATTAATGGTCAGGACCCATTTGGAATGCTCATGCTCAAAAATGCCTCGTTCTGAAAACCTTAAATGAGACTGATGTGAATCCCTTATAGCCTTATAAGTTGAAAGCCTGTGCTGAAGAAACCGTGCGGCGCACCCTCACCTTAGAGGGTGACTGCTCCCAAGTGAAACCTTGACCAGGCAAAAGTACGCAGTCTCATCTGGCCTTGATCCTGCTTTTGCCGAGGATGTGCAGGGTGAGGTGGCCTGTGCAAAGCAACACAAGGAGTGCTTCCTTCGCGAGGCATAAGGGTCCAACCACTTGCCACCGGGCGCCTTCCTTTCAGAGCGCAGTGGAACTACGGTCTTGCCTGGGCTATCTGATGTTTGTATATAGAACGTTTTTCTGTGGATGTATATAGTTTGTTTCCTCAGCGTGGCCAGACCAAGAACCTTTATGTAGCCCGCCACAGATTCTCCACGGAATACTGCTCTCCTTGCCATTTGATCCGGTCGGTTATTAAGCTGGACTGAAACAGTGGCCGGGGTTGATGAGGAGACTGGTTTGAATTGAATGGGGCAGAATGCATGCAGTGGACTAAAAGCTTTTGCGAGGGACCAGGCTAATTTCAAAGTCATTTTCACACCTGAAAAAGATACGCAAATTTTGGTGTAGCCTTGCTTGGATTTGATATATAAGTAGATAAGCAAGGTTTTGAATGGACACAAATTAACTTCAAAGAAAACACCACCACACTACGAGGTGCGCCAGAGCCGCGAGAAGATGCGTGGCCTGCGGAAGCGGCACACAGCGCTCTCAGAGAAGGCCAAAGATCAGTGCAGCCGGCTTCGGCCGTTTTGCATCATATCACGATGTTGCCTCTTCTTTCATGGTATGCAATATTATGTATGTAGCTAATTCATTTGCAGAATCTGCCAGGTTAGCACTAGGATCGACGCTCACCGTTTACATACCTTGGAAGAAGCTAGCCTTTTTTGGGGCATGCCTAGATGCTTTTTGTTCAAGCAGGCTTGGACTGGTTTCGTAACAGCACCTTCAGAGAGCTTACCAAGACGCGATAGGCTTTCTGCCACAGTTGGGATCCAATGGCCACCTTTCAAGCCTTTCAAGCCTTCCAATAGATTTCAATCGGATTTGGTCATCCAAAGTGGACTTGTTTCCTCGAGCTATTCCAGGTTGCTGTTCGTTTGTTGAAGGCGCAAAGCTTGGAGAAGCGTCTTTTGCGCAGTCCCATGATGCCAGGCTAGGATTTTGTGTGGTTCGCCGTCATTCACTTCTGTTTACTTCTGCTCTCGCAGCACTTCCCTGGGGATCAGTTTGTTTTTGGTTCAAAAGAATTATCCCAGCAAGAGGCCCCAAACAGTGGAAAACGTCTCCGGAGGAACTGCTGGACTTTCTTTTGCTTGCGTAGCGAGTACTGTGAGACATGTCTATGATAGCCAAGAGCGTGTTGAGTAGAACAAAAGCAGTGTGAACATGGATACCTAACTGAATCCGTGCCAAATATGAAGGTTGGAGCTCAAAAAGTATCGGTTGAAACGAAGAAACTGCAACCTGTGCCTGGGTGAAGCCATGCCAGGCACCCACACCGGAACCCAAAGCACACATGAGAACGCACGCATTAAGAAGGTCTGCAAAGTGCTGCACTGCACTTGCCACGAAATCTGCAGAGCGACCACAAAACCCGCACTTTGAGGGCCACAAACTGCTGTGCTCAGTAAACAACATACATCACTCTAGAAGCACAGAGCACACATATGAGAGCACAGGTATTATAAAAGGATACAGAACAAAGCATACACACACACATGAGAGGACACATATGTGAGCAACACATGAGAGCACACATATGAGAGCACCAGGTATGAGAACACACATATGAGAGCGCGCAAACGAATACGGGAGCACTCATATGTGAGCAAATGCCACACTCTGACATTGGTTTTCAGTGACTCAGTTACCACGTTGGGAAGGAAGGCGAGGGAACGGAAAGGTGCATAAGTCCGCAAAACCGTATTGTTGAACATTGTTGGCAGCTGCATTCGAAAACGGTCTGACACTCAAAGTCGGCTGCAAAGCGTCGCAAGGTGGCGGTGGGTTTGTGGGAGGTATCATGAAGAACCATGAAACAAACCGTGGAAGAGTGGAGTAACAGCGTGCGAAGAACTTTGCAGGTACGTTCTCAAGGCGTCCCTCGAGAATATCCTGACGAATGGCTGGAGCTTCGTTGGATCAGGCCAAGCCAAACGTCCCTGATCCCCCTGCTTGTGAATCGGTGGTGGAACAAGTGGCAGGTGAATCGGTTGGAAGAAACCCTTGGTCCAGGGGTGGACACACACAAGTCGCCGGCTCCGGCACTTTTTCAAAAACCGGTGGCAGGCGTGGTGGTTGTGTCCTTTTTGGACATAAAGCTGCAGCAGCTTCAGCGCTGGAGGGTGGAAATGTGTATTTTCGAATGGTGTGAAGTCTGGATTGGAGGCCTGACAGAGCCAAGCGCTGGCTCCCGGCGGTGGTGGAGTCCCGGATTTTCCAGGGTTGGGAAGGTTGCATGTAGGTGATGGTGCGTTGTTGGAGGTCGATGTTGAAACCCAGGAGGTGGAAATCGTCCACAGGTTCGAGTTCCACTGGGTCGCCGAAAAAGTTGTGGTGGATGAGGGTCTGGATGGCGGGATGGTGTAGGAAATGTTCGTTGTGAACAATGAAGTGGTTGTCAACGTATCGGTAGTAGGTGAAGTGTAGGCTGGTGTGTTGCAGGAGGTTGTTGTGGAGCTGGTGCCAGGAGTGTTCAATGAGTGTAATGGCTACATTGCAGAGGGCTGGAGAGAGTTGGGAGCCAATCCCAGCTCCTCGGATTTGCTTGTAGGTGTTGTTGCAAGCCCGGAAAATGCAAGTGTTGAGTGCAAAGGCCACGATGGTGGTGATGTCGGAGGTCTGGATGGTGCGTTGCGTGGGATGCTTGCGGTGGTGTCTGCCGATGTGGGAGTGGTGGAAGGGGTTGCCGGTGGCTTGGACATCCACTGTGATGGTGTGGGTGGATTGCTGTTGTTGCCAGTGGTGGACCAGAGAGTGAACGGCATCAATGAGTCTGTGTTGGGGGACGGAGTTGAAGAAGCCGACGAGGTCGTCGTTGGTGGCGTGCAGGGAAATGTCCGGGGGGTTTGGGTGAGGTAGCTGTGGAAATGGTGCCATAGTTGTGGAATAGACAGTTGTCCTGGGTGTTGGGGATAAAGGTGCTGAAGGATGAGGTCGAGGGCTCGGCTGGTGATGCGGAGTAGGTTGCCGCTGAGTGAATGGAAGTGTGAGATAATGGTGCGGCCTTTTTGCCACTGCTTCTTCTCCTTGAGGTGGACCACACCGTAGGGGATATTGAAATCCTTGCGGAAACCCCATTTGTAGCGGGTGCGTAAGGTGGGTGGGACGGTGGCTTTGAGATGGTCGTGGATGTTGGCGGCTGTGAGGTAGGGAAGTGGTTCGAAAAGTTCGGGGGATTGCCATGTGTTCAAGGCGCCAGTGAAGTATTGGCGGGGGCAGAACAGTCGGAGTTGCTGAAGCTCATGATCGGCATGGTGAAGCACTGTGTTTTGGCCCAGGTATTCTTGGAGTTGGCGAAGCAGGCGTGCTGTAAAGCGTGGTTGTTGTTTAAGGTGTGTGGTGTGAAGGCGCCATTGGTGTTCGAGGAAAGGGTGTAAGTGCTCCACGAGGGACGGCGGTAATCCCTGCATCTTAAGCCATTTTGTGTAGGCTGTCTGGAAAGTGAGGAAGTAGCGAGCCTTGCTTGGATAGTAGGTGCTGTTCATGTTGGCGTTGAGAAAGATGCTGAGGTGTGTGGGGAGGTGAAGTTGATCGAGTGTGAGGATGTAATGGCCATTGATGGTGGGTGTATCAGGATCTTGCAGTAGAGTTCGAAGATGGTGACATGCGCAGGGGAGGTCCGCCGGATCCGGCGGGGAATGGAGGGTGTCCTCCCAGGTGCGGTGATTGTGTAGTTGGGATCGTAGAGTTTTGTGTGCAGCTTCCCGGAGGCGGTGTGACGGGAGGTGCAGGGGGATAGCAAGGTGCTTGTGGTGTTGTATAGTGGTACGGAGCCACTGTTGGCAATGCTTGGTGAAGTCTTCGTGGGCCAGGAAAGGCACTGTTAATGGGATGTTGGGTTTGGGTGGTGTGAGGTTGCGATACAGGAGGGCTTTGTTGATGATGTGGAGAGCTCGATTGCGGCCAGGTTCTTCGAGATTGGCGGCCATACGCCGGATGGCGTAGACTTCAAGATCAGTGTGTTGGCCACTGCGCAGTTGTTTTGCTGCTTCGAAGGAAGCTGCTGTATGTTTTGTAAGGTTGCGGAGGAGCGTAAGAGCGTGATGCTTGGTAGAGGTGTAGAGGTGTGGTTCTCGGAGGGTGTGCTGACGTTGACGAAGGCGTCGGAAGAGTCGTTTGTGAGCGGCTAATCTGGAGTAAAAGTGCGCTCGATGCTTCGTGAACTGCCATCCTTGAGCTTTGAGTTTGAGGTGGTGTGAGATGAAGGGCCAGTTAAGGGTAGGCATCCAGTTGGCAATGTAGTGGTGTTCCTGGATCCAGGCTTGGTCGTAGGTGTCGTGGGATGTGAGTTGGATGGTGGTGTAGTGGTGGATATTGTTGTGGGAATGCCAGTAGCGTAGGGAAAGCTCAGCGGAAATGGGGATGTTGTTCTGTAGTTGTTTGAGTTTGGCACGGCGGTTATGCTCTCTGTGGGGGATGCCAATGGCGGTGGAGCCGACATAGAAGTGGCCATGTTGGTGGTAGCAGCGTTGGGGTGGGTCAGGGTTGAAGTGGAGCTTGATGTAGACCGAGTTAGATGAGAGGAAGTTGTGGTAGTGGTAAGTGTGAGGTAGGATGTGGAGCTGGCGAAAACGATTGCGCCATTGTTGTGAGCGGTGGGTGCTGGAGGGATATGCAACAAGCAAGGTGATGTGGATAAGGCCGGTGGCAAAGATGGCTTCGGCGCGGTCGATGTATTGAGTGTGGTGGATCAAAATGGAAAGTGCTCTGTGTAAGTGGAGCAGGTGTTGTAGGGTAGTGTGGCTGGGTTGCTGCTGGCTGAGGACAGCGAGTCAGCAGCCGATGGCTGCCCCCACACTCACAAGCTGTTGCAAGCTCCGTATGGGGAGGCGATTGACCCGGTTGAGGGGGAGACCGTAACGTGCGGCGGCCTCTTTCAGCTGCTGGGTAGTGACTTTGCTGGTTTGCAGCAAGCGCAAAACCTCGTTAGCTGCTTCCTGGATGGTGGGGTCGAAGGTGGTGACCCAGTGTTGAAG